ATGTCCTTACAGTTATCTTTGAAAAATTAGGGTATCTGAAATTAAACAGAAAAAAACTAGGAAGAATTTAAATTTGATAGCATTCTAGACTTCTAGTTGAGGTAAGGTATTGAATAAGAAAGAAGGTAGTTGGATTAAGCTTAAAGATGCTTCTGAAGAAGAAGAAAATTTTATTTCTACTAATGTTAAAATGGATATATTGTAGGAAGAATAGGAAACAGCAAATGGTTAAGAGCTAAAAAAATATAAAAGAAAAACAAAAGGCTGATAGAAGACTTGGTTTTGAATCTTCCATAAAGTGTGAAATAAGAAGATTCAGCAAGGCATTTGAATCAAGGAACATCATTTGTTTATTTGTAAACCAAATTTAAAAGGTGAAACATCTTGATACCTTTTAATATTGGTTGCGTCAACTTACAAACACCTTCAAAACACTAGCTTGTTGCTGAACTGCATAAACCATGTACGTAACATGCATCTAATGCATTTTGTGCATAGACATATCAACTCATCAAGTGATATAGCACGCCCACTGCTGATCCATTTAAATATAGATAACGTAAATAATTCATGCTTTGTTAATTAGAGAAAAGTAATTATCTACATGCCTCAAGTCAGTTTCAGTCTTTTGTACTTGCAAAATCAATTTTTTATTTTTTATTTGATAAGTGTATACTTGCAAAATCATTATTATTTTCATTTGAAAATTCAGTTCATTTACTTATTTTTTCACTATAACTGCAATGGTTTTGTTTAATATTTAATTTATTGCAAGGGTTATAACTGTTTTTTTGGTTGCATTTACATATGGGGCTTTTCCTTTTGAATCAACAGAACCTTGGATTTCTTGATAAAGATCAATGTATTCATCTGTTTGAAGAACTGGATAAATACAGGTATTGCTTGTATTTCGCTTTTTCTTACAGGCGTTTAGGATTCTTTAGAACTTGTTGCATTGTTGTTGGAATTCTGTCATAAGACTCGTAACGGAGGATGAAACAAAAGCTCAGCTTCAGTTCGGAGAGGGGTTGCAATAACTTAAAAGTCTGAAAAAGTGAGGGTATTTTATCTTTTAGGTAGATAGTTCCAGAATGTATTGCTGTATTTGATTGAAATCTTGAATGCTATATGTATACTCTTTAATTTCCATTTCCTTTAATGTTGCTAATACTTAATACTTTCTCCTGTATAACCAATTTGACATAGTTTAATCAGAAAGCATGGGTCATACTCAAGAAACAGAGAGCATGTGTAAATTGTTTAATTTCATAATAACTCCAACACAGATTATAATAACTCTAATTCCTACATTATTGACCAGCATACTAATTAATTTTGCACAGAATACGCATTAGTAATAAATTTGGGAGCCAAAATTTCTTATACACACTATACAGTCTCGTTGTTCAACTCTTCATTTGTCTATATGTTATCAAATTGAAAACATTATACTAAGTTATGTGTGTGTGTGTAAACTGCTTAATATAATAAGAAAAGCCAAGTCACTTAATTCCAAAGGAATATATTGTTCTCACCTGGATATAAAGTTTTTTAAAATACTCTTTAAAAAATTTATTTCAGTCTTAAAATTTTAATCTCAATTTTTTTTCTTATTTATTTTATTTTGCAGGTTTCACATTGATTGCAATGTAGCTCCACTTTTGAATTTGGATCTTTGATTTTTTATTTTTTATTTTTTATTTTTTTAATTTTGATATGTGAATGTGATTAGTTGTGTAATATTGGATTTGGAGATTAGCATTTTAATATGTGCAGGAATTATCATTTTAGATTTTGGATGATTTGCATATTTTAATATCTAAATTCTTAATGGAATGTGTTTTATATTCTATGATTGATTATCAAATTTATTGATTTTGAGTGAGATGTTTGGATTTTAGTTTAGATTGTTTAGTTTATTAATATTTTAATTTAAGTTACAGGTTCTAATTTTTATGTTTCAAATAGGTGAAAACAAAATTATACTATTGTATTTGTTATAGGACATGTTATTTTGTCACAAGAAAATAGCTTATAGTGGTAATAATTTTGTCGCAACATGGTAAATATATTGTGACAAAAGATTTTGTCACAATAAAATAGCTTATAGTGACAATACTTTTGTTGCAATTTGCCACTTATTGTGACAAAATACTTTGTCACAATAAAATAGTTTATAGTGACAGTAATTTTGTCACAATATAGAACATATATTGTGACAAAAGATTTTGTCACAATAAAATAGTTTATAGGGACAATATTTTTGTTGTAATATGGTATGTTTATTGCGATAATACATTTTGTCACAATAAAGCAGTTTATAACAATAATATTTTTGTCGCAACATGATATGTTTATTGCGACAAAACATTTTGTCACAATAAAGCAGTTTATAACGATAATATTTTTGTCACAACATGGTATATTTATTGCGACAAAACATTATGTCACAATAAAGCAGCTTATAGCGACAATATTTTTGTCGCAACATGGTACTTTTTATTGCGACCAAACATTTTGTCACAATAAAACAGCTTATAGTGACAATTTTTGTCACAAAAGAGTACACAAATAGTGACAAAAATTTTTTTTGTAACAAAATAGTGATGAATAGCGACAAATTTCATAAGTTTGGAGGGTATAAGGCGACAATTTTTGAATATTTTACGACAAATGCTTTGTCGTAATTTTTATTCATTTTGTGATGAAAAGTAATTTGTCACAATATATCATACCTCTAGCGACAAATCAAAATTTGTCACAAAAAACATATTGTGACCGGCTTCTAGCGACGACCCGAGGACAAAATTTTTTTTGTCGCGCTAATCTATTCGCGACAAAATATGGACTTTTAGTGACAAACTCTTTTATCGCCAAAGGCCAAATTTGTTGTAGTGAGATAGGGATTTAAGAGATATGAAGAGAGGTCTTAGGGTGTTGGAATCACCACTAAGCTCATGTAATTAACCACTTGCTTTCCATTAATGGGGAATACATTGTTGTGAACAAAATGCGATTACCAATTGCAATATTAAGAATGAACCATCAAATTAAAGAATGAATTGTCTACTTAAACTAAGTGTAGCACAACTCATCAATTCTAAGCATGACCCATCAAATTAGTAACAATTGTAGCACACATCAATCTAGAGAATCATGAAATTTGCAATAATAAGTTATGGAATATCAAATCAAGTATAAATTGTCTACTTACCTACAAATATAAATTAAATTGTAAAACAACCCATTAAGCATAAGAATAATCAATCAAATTAATTGACAAACCCATTCAATGAAAACCCATGCTTAGGCATCACTAAATCCTTGATTAATCACACATAGACATGCAACCAACATAGAGAATCTAGTGTAGAGATTAATTCCCAAATAATCACACATAAGACAACATGTAATCAAACAGAGAATCAATAGAAAGAATTAATCCATATGAATCAAAATATGGACTTTTAGTGACAAACTCTTTTATCGCCAAAGGCCAAATTTGTTGTAGTGAGATAGGGATTTAAGAGATATGAAGAGAGGTCTTAGGGTGTCGGAATCACCACTAAGCTCATGTAATTAACCACTTGCTTTCCATTAATGGGGAATACATTGTTGTGAACAAAATGCGATTACCAATTGCAATATTAAGAATGAACCATCAAATTAAAGAATGAATTATCTACTTAAACTAAGTGTAGCACAACTCATCAATTCTAAGCATGACCCATCAAATTAGTAACAATTGTAGCACACATCAATCTAGAGAATCATGAAATTTGCAATAATAAGTTATGGAATATCAAATCAAGTATAAATTGTCTACTTACCTACAAATATAAATTAAATTGTAAAACAACCCATTAAGCATAAGAATAATCAATCAAATTAATTGACAAACCCATTCAATGAAACCCATGCTTAGGCATCACTAAATCCTTGATTAATCACACATAGACATGCAACCAACATAGAGAATCTAGTGTAGAGATTAATTCCCAAATAATCACACATAAGACAACATGTAATCAGACAGAGAATCAATAGAAAGAATTAATCCATATGAATCATGTAAAAAACAATTCCTAATTTAATCACACATAGACATGTAAATAAATTAGAGAATTAATAGGAAGAATTAAACCATAGAAATCATAGAAATATACCGAGATTCATTAAAATCATAAGGTTAGAACACTAATCACAACAATATATATATAAATTCCCAAAAATAGAAATACAAGGGTTTAGATTACACAAGACTTGTAACTCATCCAAGCCTTAAGTGTAGATCTAGCCAATCATGGAGGAGGTAGATGTGGTCATGAAACCCTCAAAGGTAAGCTCCAAACATGGCTTCATCATCTTCTTCTTCTTCTTTGAAGCTCTAGAGAGAGAGAGAGAGTGGATCTAGAGATGGATCTTGAGATGTGTCTCCACTTCCCTCTTTTCTTCTAACCATAATCTCTAACTTTCTAGAGAGAGAAAACTAAAGAGAATGTAAAAATTACAATCTAAAATATGAATCTCTTAATAAAAATGATTTAATCCCTCATATATACATGGCTTTGAGAGCCAAAAATGTGAGAACTCGCCTCTAGAATCGTCTCCTTGAAGCTCAGCCTGAGTTGGGTTGAAATGAGATTCAGATCTGCTTTTTAATAACTTTTGCGAACAGTTCGATCGATCTCAGAAAAAGTTCGATCGATCCAACTTCGATCGATCTTAGAAAAGTTCGATCGATTTAAGTGAGATCAATCTCAGAAAAAGTTGGATCGATCCAACTTGACAGTTTTTCAGCATTAGCCTCCTTTTACTCCAAATCAGCTTCCTTTTGCTCCAAATCCTCACTAAGACTTAGTTTGACTCCAAAAAGGCCTTAATAAACCATTTTTAGCTCGTTTTAGCTTTATTGACCTAAAAAGGGAAATAACACAAAATTAGTCTAAAGCGGAAAAATAAGATAGATAAAGGTCCTAGAATACCTAAGCTTAAGGGGTTTAAATGTGCACTTTTCCGCGCTCATCACCCATAGATATCTCAATATCCACTTTACTGCTTCCCAGTGTAGTTTGCCTGGATCCTTCATGAACCTGTTTACTGCTCCCACTGCATATGTAATGTTTGGCCTTATGCACACCATAGCATACATCAAACTTTCAATGGCTGAGGCATATGGAATTTTAGCCATGAAGTTTTTCTCATCTTCTGTCTTCGAACACTGATCTTGAGATAATCGGAAGTGATTAGCTAAGGGAGTACTCACTGCCTTAGCATTATTCATGTTGAACCTCTTCAGAACCCGTTCAATGTACTTAGCCTGAGACAACTGCAAAGTACCTTTCTGCTTATCTTTGCTAATCCTCATCGCAAGAATTTGTTTTACTGCACCAAGATCCTTCATCTCGAATTCATTAGACAACTGCTTCTTCAATTTGCTGATTTCTTTAAAATCAGAACCTGCCACTAACATGTTATCAACATAAAGTAGAAGGATAATGAAACTTGACTTAAACCTCTTGAAGTAGTAGCAATGGTCAGCGTTGCACTTATTATAGCCATGTCGCTTCATAAAACCATCAAACTTCTTGTACCATTGCCTTGGGGCTTGCTTCAAACTATACAAGCTTTTCTTCAACTTGCACTCTAGTTTCTCTTTCCCTTTGACTGAGAAACCCTCCGATTGTTGCATGTAAATCTCCTCCTCATGGTCACCATGGAGGAAAACAGTTTTGACATCTAACTACTCGAGGTACAACTCTTCTACTGCAACAATGCTAAGAACTGAACGAATGGTACTCAGTTTGATAACCGGGGAAAAAATGTCTGTGCCGTCAATGCCTTGCTTTTGCTGAAAGCCTTTGACCACCATTCTCGCCTTATATCTCTTGGAACCATCATGTTCCTCTTTCACCCTGTACACCCATTTGTTGTGAAGAACTTTCTTCTCCACGGGAAACTTGGCTAGTTCCCATGTTTTGTTGGAGATAAGGGACTTCATCTCATCTTCCATTGCAAGCTCCCACTTGCTAGCATCTTCAACCTGACATGCTTCATCATAGCATTCAGGTTCACCATCATCTGTGAGCAATATATAATCCAAATATTTCCTATTCAGTACATGAGGTTGCGTAGACCTTTTGGGTGCAGGCATAGGAGTTGGAATCTGCGGTGAACTATGCTCTGTGAGTTCTGGCCAAGAACCCTCATCTGTCTGCTCCGCGTCAATGTTCTCTGGATCATCATCCAACTCAATAAACTCAGGCTTACTCTGTACAGGACTAGTTAACTGTGCTGCATCTCTATCCTTGTACATCACCTTCTCGTTGAAAATCACATCTCTACTTCTGATGATTTTCTTGTTCTGATAATCCCAGAGTCGATAACCAAACTCATCTCCGTTATACCCAACGGAGATACATTTTAGTGACTTAGGGTCGAGCTTTCCCCTAGCATGGTCACTAATATGCGCATATGCAATACAACAAAAAACTTTCAACCATGAAAGATTTACCTCTTTGCCATTCCATACTTATTTTGGTATTCGATGCTCCAAAGGCACCAATGGTCCACGATTAATTAGGTAGGATGTTGTATTAACCGCTTCTGCTCAAAACTATTTGGGTAGACCAGAATGTATACGCATACTTCTGGCTCTCTCTGTCAATGTTCGGTTCATCTGTTCTGCCACCCCATTTTGCTGTGGAGTTTCTTGCACAGTTCTCTCTAATCTGATCCCATTATCAAAACATAACTTTTTGAACCCAGTGTCTTCATACTCATCACCTTTGTCTAACCTTAACCTCTTAATCTTCAAATCTGTCTCATTCTTCACCATGGCCTTCCACTTCTTGAACACATCAAATACCCTAGATTTGTGCTTCAAAAAACCAACCCATACCTTCCTTGTAAGATCATCAATGAAAGTCACGAAGTAGGATTTTTCGCCAATGGATGAGACAGTGGCTGGCCCCCAAATGTCTGTGTGAACTAGCTCAAGTTTCTCCTTTTTGAGATCTCTGCTATTTTTCTTGAAACTGGCCCATCACGCAACTCTCACAAAAGTCAATATCAATTGCCCGTATGACTGGTAGTTTCCCCTTTGAGTGCATAATCTTGAGCCCTTTTTCACTCATGTGACCTAGTCTCTGGTGCTAAAGGTTGTGAACTTCTTTATTTTTTGCAACTGCTATAGACCCACAAGCACTGGTAGTTGTGTAGAGAATGCCAGATTTTTTACCACGTGCAATGGTCATAGAGCCTCTGGAAACTTTCCATGAGTCTCTATTGAAGGTTAAAACAAAACCTTCATCTGACAATTGTCCCACCGAAATCAGATTCTTCCTCAAGTCAGGGATGTGTCTCACATCCTTTAACTTCCAAGCTGATCCATTCAACTTGATTTGCACTTCACCCTTGCCAACAACGCTGCAAGGCTGATCATCACCAAGATACATCTTACTAAGGTTACCCGATTCATAGCTATTAAATAGCTCTTTGCTTGAGGTGCCATGAAACGATGTACTAGAATCTAAAACTCAAGACTCCGCCTTGCTCTACAAAGAGCAAATCAATGCATCATCTGATTCTTCTGAGACAACGTCTGCTTCAATTTTTCTTTCGGTTCCCTTCTTTGGAAGTTTGCAATTAACATAGTAATGTCCCTTTTTTTCCACAATTCTAACACTCAACGTCACTCAGATCTGTGGAATTCCTAAAATTTTAAGACTATGTCCTTCCATTCCTTGACTTGGATCTGCCTCTGTTTCTATTACTGTTGCCCTTCTTCTTGTTTGAACCCTTACCTTTGCTTTCAACATTCAACGTCAAACCACTGGTGGAAACCCCTGCTGTTTGCCTTCTGATTTCTTTAGTCAGAATTATGCTTACAACTTCATCAAACTTCAATTTGGTCTTTCCTGTAGAGCTATTGATTGCTGTAACTATGCCACTCCAACTCTGGGGTAACTGCCCTAGAATTAGCAGTGCTCGGACCTCGTCTTTGAAGTCGATATCAATAGACTCTAATTGCCCAACTATCTCGTTGAACCCATTTAGATGTTCATTGAACTTACCACCTTCAACCATCTTCATGTTAAACATCTTCTTGATCAAGTGCACCTTGTTCGACACAGAAGGTTATTCATACATACTAGAAAAGGGCTGCCATGAGAGACATCGTCATTTTCTCGTTCTTGATGTTGAAGGCGACTAACTTTGACAACGTCAATCTGATGGTGCCAAGAGCCTTCTTATCAAGTAATTCCCAATCTGCATCCTTTGTATCCTCTGGCTTCTCTCCCAAAGGTTGATACAGATTTTTCTGAAACAAGAGGTCTTCTATTTGCATCTTCCAGAAACCGAAGTTTGTGCCATCAAACTTCTCGATCATAGATGTGGATGTCTTATCTTCTGATGCCATTACTCCCACTCGAACAGACAAATCTGATCGAAAGACTTTCAGAATTTCATCAAACACCTTCTGTGCCCTAGGTTCTCAACCAAAGGCTTTGATACTAGTTGTTAGAGTTGCACTGCATAATCAACCGGATTTGATACCAATTGTTGTGGCGGAAACGCAAAATAAACAACACTGTTCAAGGAATAAACAAACAATCATGAAGAATAAAAAAAAAAACACGCACAAAAACACAAGATATATATGGTTCACCCAAATCTTAGGGTTACGTCCATGGAGCACACCGAACAAATTCACTTTGAAGAAGATGAAGAATTACAATGGAGATTTTTTTTTCAATCTCTTTCAATTGCTCTCTCTTGTATTGGCACAAATTTATCTCTAACTCTCACACACTCTAAAATCTGATTAGAGTTGATATTTATAGAGTCCCAAACTTGTCCTACAAGAACTTGTCTTTTGTAGAATCCAAAACCAATAAGGAAGCCAAATCAGATCAGGAAACTGAATTTTCCTTAAACCAATAAAGAAGTTAAATCAGATCAGGAAACTGAATTTTTCTTAAACCAATAAGGAAGTTAAACTAGATCAGGAAACTTAATTTTCCCTAAAATTCAGTACTCTTGAAGTTTCCATATAATTAAATCTTCCTAAAAAAAATAATTACCTAATCAGACTCCACAAAACCACAATAGAAATGGGTACCACCGTGCACACCATTGGAAAGATAATGAAAAATTAACAAAGATGGACTCAAGAATCACTTGATTCGGAGTCCGGACGACAAATATATCAATTATTGAAGTCAAAGGAAAAGAAACCCCGTCCCGGTTCGAGGCAAATCCTGACACTACCTCACTAAAACTTAAATATCTTGAGGTACAAATGGAATATAAAGCTGTAATTGGTACCATTGGAAAGATTATTTCGACTTGGTTAGTTTAGACTCAAGAACGGACCAATTCGGAGCTAAAACGAAGGAGATACGATAATTTGAAACCGTAGGTACAGTGTTAAACCAAGACACACACACACCGACACACACAGATGGGCGAGCGCTCATCTAAGGGCAACGAGCTCTTATAAATGGGAATGCCAAGGCAGTGCCCACTGCCCTAACTACGAGAGCTCGTCCCCCATAGACGAGCACTCGTCCAGTGCTTAGTGCACCAGACCAGCCAACTTGAAATGCGATTTTGAGGACTTTCTGGGCCTTTTTGAAAAAAACACAAAGAAGAACCCACCCCCGCCTCCCAAAACCATGTTTTATAGCTAACCATGCTAAAAGAAAACTTTATTTTTTATGTGAAAACCCCAAAATGCCCTTATGCACAATTTTTGCAAAAGAAAATGCAAAATGAGCCCATAGGAGGCTCAAATCACCAAGGAAAGGGTTTTGCCCGGAAATGATTATGCACACAGACGTAACTTACCAATTCGGACGTGCTGCAATGACCCACGGCTTAAAAATACCGCTGATGCAAAATATGACCTACCTAAACCCCAATGCGGGAAAAATGCCCTTCAAAGGCAAAAAATACAAGAACTGTACCTAAATGCAATCAAAAGACCGTTTGGCCCTTGGCCACATTTCATGCATAATATATGAGTGCTAGTGGATGTGCCTGAACACATTAAACGCCACCCAATTTGAAAATGAACCCTTAAAGGCTCAGATTTTATTATTTTAGCCCAAAAATGCAATATATGAGACAAGAATGTAAAACCTTAAACAAAATGGTGTTTGGCCCTTGGTCAGACCTAATACATAGTAAATGAATGCCAGAGGATGAATTTCATACACAATGCACACTCCGGTGCAAAAATGACATATCAAAACCCTAATTTTCATACTTTTCTCATTAAAAACAAAATTCAACATTTATGGGTATTCATAGATTTCAAATGAAGTTTGGTCCTTGGCCACATATCATATGCATAGAATGAGTGTCAAAAAGTGTGCTTAAACACACATTACAAGTCCAAGGCAAAAATGACATTTTTATCCTAACTATACATTATAACCTTAAAAGTAAAACTCAAACATGCTAACACTTGCATGTGAACAAGAATGCATTTAAATGAATTTCAATCCAATGAAACGATCTAGGGATATTGTGCGTGCCGAATCAAGGCATCCGTACCTGAAACAGTCCGATAACTTTGGGGTGGGTAAACAAGTTACTCGTAGGGAATGAGCATGCATAGACCTAACTTTTTACAAGGTTTTCACATTTACGTGAAATAATTCAAAAGGATCATGCCACCTAACG